TATATATATATAACCACTTCAACAAGAATTGAATGTGAGAAAAAAAAACACTGCCTTTCAAGATTAGAAAGTCTACAGATTCTAACATTACCTTCCCAAACTTTACCTGGAATTTGTGTTCTGCCATGTTTCCTCATTCAAAGGTGAATGAGGAGCTGGGAGTGGTGGCTCAAACCTGTAATCCTAGCACTCGGGAGGCTGAGGCAGGAGGATTGCTGCATGTTCAAGACCAAAAGAATCTCCCTGAAATGGGGTAGTGAGGTTGTGTTCCATTCAAAAGACCTTGGCCTTGAGCACATGACACTCTTCTGGTACCTGTAGGCTACTCCTATGAGAAAGGATGAAAGTTGTCCTGGCTGTACCAGAGGACAGACAGCATGCTGTTTCCAATGAAGCCCATTAGGAGAGACTGTAGGAGGTGGTGAGTGTGGCCATTCCAGGCCTTTCCAGCAGAGGGCTCCTGTCTGTTTCCAGAAGGTGGTTACCTATGGGACCAACCCCCACTCCTGGCAGTACATGAAGGCCATGGGGGGATTTGGAAAAGGGAGCTTGCTGGGCCTCTTTCAGCCCTTTCTAGTCAAAAGTGTGGGAATGAGACCCAGAAATTTGTATTTCTTAACTATTTCTTAGATAACTGATAAATATCTTTTTGGAACAATTGACCTTACAGTGACTCTGGCAAATACTGATTCTGGGATTCTTTGGTTTGTGTTTCATGGTCTGGGTATAAGTTCTAGTTCCTTATTCTACAAGCATGAAGGAATACATGAGTGGATGAAGGACTACTGTGGTTTGAAGCTATGCATTAAAGGACTGATCCCCAGGGCAGCACTTGGGAGAGCTTCTGTGGTCCTTTTGGAGGTGGAGCCTATGGGAGGTTCTTAGAGCATTGGGAGCATGTCCCCAGGGGTATTGTGGGACAGGGCCTGTCCTCTCTCTGCTTCCTGGCTTGAGATGTGAGCACTCATTGGAATAAGCACTAGCACCATTGCCAACTGCCTTCCTCACCCAAGGCTGAGGGTGCCTGATCTTAGACTTGATCCTCCAGAAACTTAGAGCTCTCTAGTAATCATTCTGTTCTAGTTTTCTTTCTGTTGCTGTGTAAAACACTCTAACCAAAACAACCTGAGGAGGAAAGGGTTTATTGCATCTTATACTTTCAAGTGACAGTCCATCACTGAGGGAAGTCAGGACAGGGACTCAAGGCAGGAACTGAAGCAGAGACCATGGAGGAAAGCCATCGCTTGCTGGCTTGCTTCCCCTGACTTGCTCAGCTACCTTATACAGCCCAGGCCCACCTGCACAGGGATAGCACCAACCACAGAGGGCTGGGCCCTGCTGCATCAATTAAGATAATGTCCCCACAGACATGCTCATAGGCCAGTCTGATGGAAGCAACTCTTCAGTCAAGGTTCCTCTTCCCAGCTGACTCTAGTTTGCATTACCTTCACAAAAATTAATCCACACGCCTTCTTTTCTTCCTGAGTAGCCTGTCTCATGTGTTCCATTGTAGGAACAAGAAGCTGACTAATATAATAAGTGAATGTGTGACTGTAAGGCTTTGCTCCCAGGGGAGTTGTTCTTTCAAAGGAAGAGGGACATGGGCAAGGAGCTAAGGGTCTTGAAAAAGAGGGTGGAATGTCCAAGGTAGGCACAGAATACTGCTGCCAGTGTGGCTTTGGAGGACATGTGGGTCAATAGGCCTACATAGGACAGGCAACCATGGGCTAAATGCCGTCACTAAGAAGAATGGACCATGGCCAAGGTTATGGGGAGGGCATTTACATGGAATTATTGACAAACTGTGTGTGTTATGTTTTTATGTATTGTTAGGACATGAGAAACGTGGGTTGGCTCATGTTAATTATGATATTTTAAGAAACAAATTTGGGGACCTGGGGAATGACTGAGTGGTAAAGCACTTACCTAGCATGCACAAGAGAGACCCTGAGTTAAATCCCTAACAATGCTGGGAAGGA